GTTCATTTTTATCCACGGTGAAATCATGAGAGTTGCGCTACTGTATATACTGTGATTGTACTCGCCAGAACGTATACATAGCGCTATATTAAGTCGAGATGACAGATATCTTAACCTCTAAAATCTCGAACTTTAATGTTTAATATCTCGGTTCGCGAGACCGACCGCCGCACTTTTGCCAGATTCTTTCATTTTAAGTGAAAACGCGTCGAATGAGCCCAATTTCATCAAAATCGGAGATGAGGCCCGTATTCTAAATAATTACCATTATTTGTATTATTTTGATTAGCAAAGGCATTGGTACTTATGAACTTGAATCGTTGCATGAACTTTTTTCCATCTTTTTTTTAATATTTATGTTCTTTGCACAAATCAATTAGTCTTTTCACAGTCTAGAAGTAAATAACAAACCGGTTTAACCTAACCTAACCTTGCAACCGCCACTCATTTACAATGAGGTCGAATGCGTTCGTCTCAATCTTTTGAAACATTAATAATCATTCACAGACGCCTGACGAAAAACGAAAACTCGTCAAGAATAAGGACAGCCCGGATACACCAAAATCCAATGATGTACCGAAGGGGGAGCCAGAACAACGTCACAATCAAAACAAGAAGAGCCCTCCAGAAAAATAATTTTAATTATAAAACATTTAACAAACCAATAGTAGAGCCTGTGCGTTATACAAACAATAATTTTAGAAATCCTAACGATACTCAGAGGAATTGGCAATCATATAGAGGCCAGCAAATAAATAACCCTCGCAAAACGAGATCGGGATACGTCCAAATCGCGGAAACGCAAACGAACGGACCTAAATATAAAGATGCGAAAGTGTATCAAACAATCTCAAACAGAGATAATGCGTCGAAAATTCGGAATTCGGAGCCAGCGGGAAAAAATCCAGTAACGCGTTATGGATCGAGCCGAGACGTAAGAAAGAACGCAGCTATGCTGACAGAAACGGTTAAACCGCCGATAAAGGCAACGCCGTATAAAGAAAACGCGCGTGAGAATAATCTGCAGCGAGAAAAACAAACCGCACATCATAAAAGGCCGCTAAATGGAAAAACCGAAGACGAGTTAACAGACTGGAATGAGATCGTCGAACTCGATAGTAACATGATTAATAAAACCGTATACATTAATTCAAATATGAAAGATAAACACACGCTTCAATATAGCGATGTATTAAAATCCGGTAACAGTTGTAACATAAATAACGTTAATAATAACAGCAGACAGCTAAAGCCGCATAGACAGTCGCAGTATAGACAAGATCTAAGAGAAGATAACATCAGAAACATTAATGCCATACAATCAAATTTAACATTTTCAAATAATAATAATGAAAATAAGAATAAACAAGAGTTAGTAATTTTAAAAGAAAAATTAAATATTTTGAAAAACCAATTGATACAAGATGATAAAGTAAATTCAAAAATAGAAGAAAAATCAGATAGGGAGTTAAATGATTCTCCAATTCAAAAGAAAACAAAGTATGACTTTTCGGAAAACAGGAAAGTCAAAATAAATTCAAATTTGCAAACAAAAGATGTAATAAATTTTTCAAATAAAATAATACGCAACAAAGCTATTAGATATGATTGGCAACAAGATTTAAATAGATTTGAGATTAGAAAAAGTCAAGAAAGGCGAGGAGAAGTCTTACCCGTAAATCCTACAAGTCAAAAATGGCGAGGAGAGGTACAGTATCCAGAAATCCAACATCCTTTAGCCGTGACGAATCCAGATCCTTCCCAAAACCTAAAACAAGCAATAGATAAAGTATTAAAGATCGTAATAGAGCCAATAAAGTTAAGTTCACAACAAAAAGAGCCAGAGTTTACAAACAAAAAAGATAACGAAAAATTAGAGTCATTAATACATAAAGTTAAAACAAATTACAACATTGACAGATACATTAACAATATAAATTCATTGAAAAAATTAACAAAATTAAAGGCTCAAGAAAAATCGAATAAAGTAAAGTTCATGAATTCTTTAAGATTAAAAAAGAAAATACATTGCAATAATACAATTAAAAGGCTCATAAAAGAAATAAATTCAAATAAGCACTTAAAGGCTAAACGCGTACAAAAATATAAGACGCGTAATAATAAAAGTAATACGGAAAAGTCAATTCCGGAAAAAGAACCAATGACAAAGGCACCGTACTATATAGAAACTATGTCGCGTAGGATAAGTACCGAGAGCGCGATAGAACATAAGAACAAGAAAGAAGACAACACGAAAGAGTCGCAACACGCGAAGAAGGGGCAAGTCACAACAAGCGCGAACATCGGCAGTCGCAGAGCGAACATCGAGCCATGCACACCGCGAGACACCTCTATCAACATGACGTTCAACGAAAGTAACCAGTGTAAAACGGTAGCCGAACTAATTAATGAAGAAAACAAACTACTGGATATAATCCAAAACAGAGCGAAGAAACGTAAACTAATAGACGCACGTACAAGAAGAATCAATATATTAAAACAATTCATTCAAGAAATGAGTCCGGACAATTCAGGGGACGAAGAACAGTTAAAACAACACGAAGAAGCTGAGAAGAAAATGATGGAAACCATCAACTTTTATAACAAACAAAAGGATAAACACAGAGGTGCAGCCTTTACGCAAGTATTCGCAGACAAGAACCAAGACAACATAATAAAATTAGCAACAACTCTAAGTATAGAGGACATTAAACCTCAGAGTAATAGTTCAAATGAACAAATATATCGTGTCACGTACGATATCACACAAAATTACACGTACCAATACGTGCAAACAATTAATAAAGAAGATATAACAAATTTATATCATAATAGCACTCAAGATGCATCATTCTTAAGACCTGTAAAGAACACAACAACAACAACTATGGAAACAGAAGTTATCCAACAAGAATCATCGAAACGAGATGAAACATCATCAACTATATCGGAAAGTCCACAGACACCGATGCAGGCAATAACAACACCAATAAAACATTTACAAGAAAATATTAATAAACCATCTACATCAAGATACAAAGAAATATACACAACATCAGAATCAAATGACATAAATAAAGATGAAAACTACAACCCAACACCTAAAAGGAATATCAAGACTACAACAAGAAAAAGAGGTAGGCCACGCAAGGTTAAACAACCAAATCAATACACAAAAACGAAAGCTGCACTAAAAGAGACGATTCCGGAAAGACAAAAACCAACCATTATATCGGACATCGTACTAACAAAAAATTTCAACGAACTAGTAAGTGCTCATCGGCAGCGAAGCAGCCAATTCGCAGGCGAGGAGTGTGCAACCGCCACTCATTTACAATGAGGTCGAATGCGTTCGTCTCAATCTTTTGAAACATTAATAATCATTCACAGACGCCTGACGAAAAACGAAAACTCGTCAAGAATAAGGACAGCCCGGATACACCAAAATCCAATGATGTACCGAAGGGGGAGCCAGAACAACGTCACAATCAAGACAAGAAGAGCCCTCCAGAAAAATAGAGCCTATCCTCTCTAAACTAAACACATTTAATTGTAAGTACACATATATATAAAATACACAATTCATTAATATTCAATATTATTATTATCTCCAAATATATTCATTAGAGGAGAATAAGAAACTACAGTTGTAGGAGGTCACTAAAGTACTTATTTTATAAAATTTTATGATAACTAATTATTACATTAATCAGACTAATTTTAACGTCAATAGAAGCATTAATTATATTTAACCATAAAGCCTTATTAACTCACGAGCAATTGGGAGCAAGTTACAGCTCATTTCATATAAAGACGTTTTAAATAAAAATTCCTTTTGTCACGTTACACTTTGCAGACGATAATATATCACGGGAGAGTCAAATCGAGCGTATAAAAGCTCTTATTCAATTTTATGATTTTTTAGAAAAATAATTTCACCTACGTTTATCAATTAAACATTAATAAGACTCGATCCCTAAACTCATTTTACAAAAGGAGCTCGTTGAGGCTTTAAACAGGTTGAAATGAAAAATCAACCTGATAGCGCAATATAAAATGCGCATAATAATTGAAATCCTAAATTTCAGTTATTAAAAAAGGTGTTTTACACCGAAAAACGGAAAATTAGCTTTTAAAGCTATTTTCACCATAATTCTAATATTTTAGAATAATTAGGATTAAGTCAGATAGTTATGTGACGAAGCGCGATAAGATCGGACTCGATTTGAGCTCACGAGGGAAGAAATGAGATAAAAAGTGAAAAGAATACGAAAAACCATTGATTTATTAATATTATTATATTATAAGTTAAAAGTAGAGTATATTTTGTGAGCCCGAGTCATTGGATCAAGTTTCAGAGTTTATATACCTGAAAAAGAAAAAAGATATTAATTTAATTTAATTACATTACGAATATACTAGAAATTTACTTACCTAGACGCCAAACCTGAAACAAAGTAAAAAGAAAGTTAAAAAGAATTAAAAGTATGATATTAGATAATAATAGTATGGAATCAGCTGATTCGGAAAGTTTCACGTTTGACGATGTTTAATAATAATATTTTATTTTATTCCTTATTTAGGGCGTAATTATTCTAAGTTTATAAATTAAAAGAAGTAAATTTCTGAGTTAAAGGATTGCTGAAAACCTTCTCGAATCAATAATTAAATAAAAGGAAGAAAATTAGAATAAATTTGCATTGAATAGAAAGAGTAAACAATATGCTTGAAAAGAGAAAGAAAATCTCAACCAATGAGAGCTGAGAAGATTTCGACCAATGAGAGGAGCGAGAGCTTCAACCAATAGAGAAGATTTTCAGTGATCCGGCGGTCGCTCTACACCGACATGTCCAGCGCCTGAAGGGGATTTCCCTAACTCACTAGTCGGACACCGCGCGGTGGGGATCGGACCGTTGGCCGGGGAAAGTACCTCGATCGAGGGAACGGACTCGGCAGTTGTCACTAGCCGTTCAAGTCGGAAGGACGTGCTACTCGTCGCATTAAAGCATTGCGTGGTTATTACGTAATTAGTTACGGCACTCCGCGGACGCGCGAAACACGTTTAGTTGTTATAATCAACGATATAATCATCCCGTGTAAACTTTAATTTAAACAGAGACCGATATTTTTCGAGAAACGCGAGTTTTAGTGTCGAAGCCGCGTTTTGTGTGTAATCCGTGTAATCCGTCAAATATCTATTAATAAACATATAGTTAGTGTTACTACAAACAGTGGTGTAAAGTTATTTTCCAAAAATATTCATTTCCAAGCTGACAACAGGCGAAGGAAGGACGACCGAAGACGCGCTGAGCAACAGGCCCATCCGCTGCAAATCCAACAACATCCTTCTCTCTAGCAGGTTAAAGGGAGTGGCGACCGTATAATCTTCACGAATACACCAAGTAGTAAGCTTATTAAACAATATATTCGCATGAATCGGTCACAACCTAACTATTCAACAAAACAGTAGTGTCCTACCGAGCTTCTTCTTCTTATTAATTAGTGGCTCCCGCCTCCAGACATATAAAAGGAGGTCGATACGGCCAGATCACGTCAAAATGTTAGTAGTCGTACAATGAGTTCAGACGCATTGGTGGCGAAAGCGTCAAGCAAGGAGCAACTTGCTGCAGCGCCAAGACCTCGCGACAGTGTGCCACATGAAAAGCGGAGCAAAGCTGCGCTAGGATGGGAAGGGAGGGGCGAGAACGGAGGTGGGGCGCCTGCGCAGGTCACAAGGAGGCGCGAAAGTTTAAAGCTCAAAATTGCCTGCAACATGATTTACTAAAGTTAAGAATGAGTCTACCAAGGCATTCCGACGGTTTAGAAATGGCTCTAGCAAATTTAGTTAGTCTATCACCCGAAGGTAACGCTCGGTTGATGAAACGACGTAATAAACATGCGCCCTCGGAGAAGTCGGGACAATCAAAAATCATATGCAAAATGTCCTGTTGAGGATAGCCACAATGACAAGAGGGATCCTCAACAAGGTTCTTACGGTGTAAGCTAGAATTTAAGTTGTAGTGATCAGCGCGCAAGCGATTGATCATGACGATGATATCTCTAGAAATTTTCATACGGTAATACCAGGGTTTAGCGGACCTCGCAAAAATGTTGTAAAAAAAATAAGAGCCTTTGATATCCGCCTGTGACTCAAAATACTGATAAGCACTGTCCGTGATATTTTGTTTAATGACCGCACAAAGGTCTGAATAAGGTACTTTAAAATTCGGTTCGATGCCTTGACGAATAGCGCGCTTGGCAAGCTGGTCGGTTTTTTCGTTGCCCTCGACACCTCTGTGTGAAGGGATCCAAATAAAATAGATTTCGGTGCCCTTAGATTCGGCCTCCTCCACTACAGATTTGATGAATGGTATAAGGTAATTATTGGAAGAGTTTTTGTAACTCTTAACGGCCTCGAGAACGCTCTTAGAGTCTGAAATAATAGAAGCTTTAGGTAATTTAAGATCGATAGATAGAGTAATAGCTGTATAAATGGCGTATGCTTCAGCGGAAAAAATCGAGGTGTATGA